TATATATATATATATATTCCTTTGTGTACATTCTTATATTATATTATATTATATTATATGTTTTTTTCAAAAATAGAAAATAAAAAATGAAAACACTAATAGAAGACATCTTCTAATTAAAGCAAATATACATATAGGGTTAATTTTAAAGGAAAATAGGAAGTGCTACTGGCCGGGTACTTAGAATCTGAAAAGTCAAAAGTCCAAAGTCGGGAATACAAGTCGGTAGTCACTGGGAATTCCGTAAAATTGAAGGGTCGGGTCGGGTCGCATCTTAATTCTCGGCTCTCTCACATCTGATCCGAAAGGATTTAGCGATCGTAGGGTCTTCTTCCCCTTTCAGATCTGGAATTCGACGGCGTAAGTCGACATAGGCGCTGCGCCTGGACGCCAAGTCGTCGGAAAAGCGACGCCTAGGCGAGGACTTGAAAGTAAGGCGAGTCGAATCATCAAGGCGAGATCAAGAGGGCGCCGCGACGCCTAGGCGACGCCGTGATAACTATGCCAACAGCCATTGAATGCTATAGATCACCTGCTATAATTACTCGCCATTTCAGTGAAACAAGACCTAATTTTGTCGTCGTTCTTTTCCTATACAGACAGGATTTCAGGCACGAGGTGAATTTGTTGGTAAAACTTCGTCACCCAAATGTGGTTCAATTTCTTGGAGCTGTTACTGACCAAAAGCCGTTGATGTTAATTACAGAGTATCTAAGAGGGGTAAGCAAACTGCACATTTTCTTATCTTTTTCCTCTCATAATACACTTCCTTCAACCAATATATGTTGTCACAGGGTGATCTTCATCAGTACCTCAAGGGAAAAGGCGCTCTTAGCCCATCGACAGCTATCAATTTTGCAATGGACATCGCTAGGTAGCTGCAATTCTAATAATATTATTACGGAGTATTAAATTGTGATTATTTGCTAATTCCCTCACTTGTCCAACTCTAATATATTGTTCAACCTAATAATGGGAGCAGAGGAATGGCTTATCTTCACAATGAACCAAATGTAATTATCCACAGGGATCTCAAACCCAGGAAAGTTTTGTATCATTGCATTGTATGAGTGGATTCATGGGTATTAGAAATCAGTGGAGTTGAGAGGTCATACTAAAATTGTTCCTTGGTGTGAATAATCATCTCTCAGGAATGTTCTTCTGGTGAATTCCAGTGCAGAGCATCTGAAAGTTGGAGACTTTGGGTTAAGCAAGCTCATTCGGGTACAAAATTCGCATGATGTGTACAAAATGACAGGCGAAACCGGGAGCTGTGAGTTTATTTCTTTTCCATTCTCACCCCTCATGTTGTGAATTGTGATTATGTTGTTCTGA